GACCGTCGTAGGCCACTGAAGCTCAAGGGAAAATTTTATAGGACGGCAATAAGGCCAGCGATGTTGTATGGCACAGAATGTTGGGCGGTGAAGCATCAACACGTACACAAAATGGGTGTAGCGGAGATGAGGATGCTTCGTGGGATGTATGGGCACACGAGAAAGGATAAGATTGGGAATGAGGATATCCGAGGTAAAGTAGGAGTAGCCAAAATTGAAGGAAATATGAGAGAAAATCGGTTCCGGTGGTTTGGACATGTGCAAAAAAGGCCTACTGACGCTCCGGTTCGAAAATGTGACTACGGGACAGAGGTTCAGGGCCGAAGAGGTAGATGAAGACCTAGGAAAACTTTGGAAGAGACCCTAAGAAAAGACTTGAGTACTTGGATCTAACGGAGGACATGACACAAAACCGAGCGCAATGGCGTTCTAGGATTCATATAGCCGACCCCACTTAGTGGGAAAAGGCTTTGTTGTTGTTGTTGTTGTTGTTGTTGACATACCATGACCTGTTGTTCATCACAAACATAAGGTCATCCTCATCGGAAAACTCTAAAGCAAACCATTTCCTGCCGAAATGGTCAAGATAGAAGGTATTTTTTACATCGTTCTTCCACTGTAGACCAAGCTTCCATTAATAAGCCTGACCTCCAAGTGTTGGCCAAACATCCTTCCTATAAGCACACGAGCTTGCCTATGCTCCACTCCACATTGATGGATGAGCAGAGGTTCGTACTGAATCTAGTGACCCTTCTCTTCATCGTGAAAGTACTCTTGGCTCTTTCAACAACTACATGCTTCTGACCAAGCTAGGGAGCAAGAAATGGGTTTTTCAAGTTGGGCACATATTTCTTATTACATATTCTAGGTCTACGAGTATGGAGAGGTGAAGAAGCAGAGAGTTGAGGTTTGGTAGAACAAGGAAAACTAAAAAAATAAAGAGTTGAAATGAGGAAACATCCAACGTCACCCAATGATAAATAAGGCCAATCTTTACTAAAATGGCTAATTATAGCTCCGTCGAAAAGTGTCAGGCCATATTTATATACCATCTCCAACCGAATGAGCTAAATATAGCCTCCTCATTAATTTATTAGTTTTTAGTTTATACTGTAAATTTATTAGTTAATTCAATTAAACTACTTTGGATGTTTTCAAATCTAACTGTTGAATTTGAATAAATTATTACAACTGAGGAATTAGGCCCCAAAAAAATGGCTATGAGGGGGTTACGTTTGGCTAGCCTAATGCCCATTTGGCTAAATAATGGTATGGTAGATTCGATAGAATTATAGCCTAACAATTGGTTGGAGATGACTTTTTATGCAAGTCAGTCCATTTTTTAACTTTTGAACCTTTAGCTTTCTCCATTGACAATGGCCTAAAAAGCATTGGGGGGGGGGGGACCCAACCGTCGAACCTTTAGCTTTCTCCATTGACAATGGCCTAAAGAGCATCCCCCCCGCCGCCGCGGGGGAGGGGGGAACCCAACCGTTGAAAAAGATCAAACAAAAATCCAGAATGTCAATGATAGCACACAATAAGCCCAAAAGGCTGGTAATAATTGCAAAATAGCAGCAGTGAGTGGGACTAGAGAACCCTCATGATATTAAAAGGAGTAGGATTCTCTTCCTTCTTTTTCTTTTTCTCTTTTTCTTTAGGATTCTCTTCCTTCTTTTTCTTTTTCTCTTTTTCTTTCCTCTCTTATTTGAACGGTCATGGTTAAATCACGTCAACATCTTATATTAATTTTTTTTTTATAGAAAGAGAAATACAAAATAGAAAATGTAAGATGAAAGAATGGAAAGAAATGGAAAGAAGAGGGAAGAAAATTCTAGTCCATATTGAAAAAAGCGAAAGACTACTACCAATGAGCAAGGAAAGCCAAACGATACTTAAGAGCAAGAAAGGTGCATTGGAAGGTCCAAATATCAAACAATTTTTTCAGAACCCAACCCGAAGCAACCAAACCGGCATCAAACAAATCCAAGCATCGATTAGACAAACAAAATACAAAAACATGAATCAAATTACTGGTATAATACCCAATACACCAAGCAACCAATGAACAATCAGAAATAAATCCGAGAACTTTCCCGACCCTAAAACCCTTTGGTTTCCCAAGAAAAGTAGTCATCAATTCTTGGAGATCACAAAACCAACTGTGAGGAGAAAACCTGGGACTAATTAGCTTCACCAGACTCAAACCCCAAACGAATAACCTAGCCGAATCATTAAGCCTATACTTTTCCTCTACCTTCCTAATTATCAAAACCATGCTTATCGGTGCCCAACTCACTAAAACCCTAAAATCACAGAGAAATAAGCAATTAGAAACCCTACGGGTAGCCAAATCAACCCATCCGCCCCAATGGAAAAACTCGATCGATATTTTCAGCGCCGAAGCCAACTCTCTCTCACGAACCCTAGCATCATTTGTGGCTCTTAAAAAGCCAATGTCATCACTATTTCTATTAATTAATTGTATCCATAGTAAAGAAAAATATTCGAGCAACCCTTTATTTGTAGAAGACCATCTTGTAAATAGCCACAACTGGCTGCACTGACGAGGCAATTTTTCTGGAAGTATTTTTTCGGTTACTGAGGTTGTGCCTTTTAGTTTTGAGAACCTTTGTAAATTTTCGTACTCGTTTTCTTCTCTCCCAGTTGTTTTCATTGATAATAATAGAATATATATATATATATATATATATATTCATTCATGTATATAAAGAGTTCGAACTCCCGAACAAAAAACTGAACTGAACCTCAAATAAGCCAACAAAAATTAAAAAGTAACCGAACCACGTAGTAATTTTGATTAGGCAAAAAACAAAATCGAATGAAGTCAAGCCCACCCCTAATTTTCAGTTAGACTAGTAGGAGGTGTGATGGGTATGGTGGGTCTAATTTATAGTGGGTAACCAAATTGGTCTTAGCATATCTTGATGCAAATTTCTGACGTCAATTGGTTTGTTGAGAATGGACCTACAAATCAATCAACACCTTTGATCAAAGATCAAAAGCTTGGTCAATGGATCTCCTATGCCTAACTTAGTTTCTCTAAAAAGAGTTAATGTTTAGAGTTTTCTGTGTATAAAAAAACTTACCCAATCTTGGTGGAAAAATAGGGCATTTATAGAGAGGGTGGCCCGCCCCTAGGGTTAGGTTAGACTCGACCAAAGTTAATTTACCAGCTTTCGCCAAGTATTAGCCTCCCGCCCAACAAGCTTTTGTTTTACCCTTCTTAAAAGTTCATTACCACTCATTGGGTCTTTTTAGAAAACAATATTATGGATTATTTACCAATGGTAGTTTTATGCTGAATCTAAAGAATATTTACGATTTCATTTCAAAGCCCTGAGACAAATAGAGCGAAGATTTATGAAAATTAATTTGTTGCCCACAAACTTTCGCAAACATATCTAAAATACCCAGAATATTTCTTGCCCCTTTGGTAGAAGTTTTAGCAAACAATAAACAGTCGTCAACAAAAGCTAGATTAGAAATTTTAAACCCAAACGGGGAAGTTAGAAGACTAAAATGGGATTTTGGGATGCTAGAGAGATCATTTTAAGGGGCGAATTAAGGGTTGCATGCTGATAATAAAAATATATGGATTGTGAAATAATATAAATTAATTAAAATAAACAGTACCGAAAGCTTTTCGTTAAAGTTCCCTATTATTAATTGCCTGTCGGGATATTGCAAAGAAAATGCCATGCAGAACCCTCTGTAACGTCAAGTCACCGATAGAGACTCTACATACTATGTATTTGCAAATGGCTAAAACTTGAGCTAATAGGTATTAAGGTGCAATAATGAAAATTACACTCCGAAACATTTTTCAACTAGAACACCGATCGAGCTTACGTCTAGTACAGAAGGGCATCAAGCCTCATTCCAAAGGGTACTCATTGAGTGGCTAGATTAATTAGAAGTCAACAGACATGAGTATTAACCTGATACTCTGGCATCAATTAATTTCCAATATACTCTTCTAACAATTCCTCTCATTTTAATTGGAGGTTGGGTTTTGCCATTTGGTACTATGATTTGGTGGTAATCCTCTTCACTTGTAAGTGAAGTGAGAGGTCTTAGGTTAAATTCTTGTCAAAGATAAATTTGAATCATATTATTGCTAAAGTCAAGAACTAGCTGCTGGAAATGCACGTGAAAATGTTTAGAAGAGGTTTGATTGTGAAAAGCAAAACATCACATTAATTGTGATGCTAAATGACTAGCTATAGCAATTAACAAAATCAAGTCCCTGACCTTGTTTACCAATGAACCTGCTAATGCTATATACAGCATGTCATCAATGGTAAAGAGTTATTCTTAGAGTAAATTGTAGTAATGGTCCCTGAACTTTAATCAAATTGGAGCAATGGTCCCTCAACTAAAAATCCATTACCATTGATCCCTCAACTTATCAAAATGTGTAGCTATAGTACTTTTCATCAATTTCTTCAAAATTTTGTCAAAGTATGTTATGTTGGAATAACCATTTATATAATTAGGATCCCTCAACTCATCAAAGTGTGTAATTATAGTCCTTTTCATCAACTACGTAAAAATTTTTGTCAAAACGAGTTATGTTGGAAGGACCATTGCTACAATTGGGTTAAAGTTAAGAGACCACTTCTCCAGTTAAATTAAAGTTGAGAGACCAAATGTAATGGATTTTTAGTTAAGGGACCATAGCTGCACGTTTTGATAAGTTGAAGGACCAATGGTAATGAATTTTTAGTTGAGGGACCATTACTCCAATTTGATTAAAGTCCAGGGACCATAGCTACAATTTACTCTTATTCTTAAGATACCATATCCAGAGAATAAAGAATAATAAAGAGTGCATGCATCTCTGCTAATGGCCATGTAAAGCATGGCATTGCAAAATAATAGTACACACGGGAGCAAGATTTGGTCTCATAGGCATTGCCTTTGCATAATACTCTTCCCTATGTACATACGTGTGAAAACATAAATGCAAACATGAATGCGCATCAGTAAGGAAATGATTTGAGCAACAAAACATTTTACAAATATCATCATGGTGGTTCTTATTGAAATTGCATTAATCTCAAGACTGCATATGGTCATTGTGCTATTTTCTCTTACGTTCTATGATATATCTTCTGTAGAATAAGTGTGTGAGAGAGACAGAGAATAGCATTCAAAAATTACAAAGCTTGAAGGAAATACCACTACCACTATGTCAAGATAATCTGCAACAATCTCAACCAAAATCATTACTTACTAGATCGCAGCTTCATCAACTTCATTTAAGTCCTATACGGACCACATCGCCAGCTCACAATTCAGAATTATACCTAACTTTTGCTTCATTACCTAGTAAATGATCATAGGCCTTGCATCAACGGAATACTTCATATGCACAATTGGTTGGTCGTCAAACTCAAACTCGATCACCATGTGATTCCTATCATCTTCCCATTGGGTTATGGCATCCTCGTACACCGAATGAGCAAAATATCCAGCAAAAGAAACCTAAAATAGTTTATAATCTTTTCCTACATGTTGTCCTAACATGGTAGGAAAAGACTATCAACTATTTCGGGTTTCTTTTGCTGGAGATTTTGCTCATTCGATGTACGAGGAGGCCAGAACCTAATGGGTGGATGACAAGAATGACATGGTGATCGAGTTTGAGTTTGACGACCAACCAGTTGTGTATATGAAGTATTCCGCTAATGCAAAGCCTATGATCATTTGCAAGGCAACGAAGCAAAATTTGGGTATAATTCTGAATTGTGAGCTGACGATGTGGTCTGTGCAAGACTTCAATGAAGTTGATGAAGTTGCAATCTAGTAAGTAACTAATTATCCCAAGTTTCATGCACCGAAAAGTATGAGCTCTACAAACAAGGGCCAAACAGATCAAGTTGAACCTCAAGATAGTCAAGAACTGACCTAAGGTAATCGTTGTTCATGCGCACCACAACATGTAGCTAATGGTGCTCCTACGAAAATCACATTGTCAAAAAAACCAAGTGGAGTGGGGGTTGCAGTTTGGACCGTCCATCAACCACAATATGCGGTTTGGTCACTTGATCAACGGGAAGATTTCTTACCTTGGATGCACATCTCCAAACATGGCCTGCCAACATCTCATACGTGCTATAGTTGATTGTGTTCCCTTCTTCCTTAGACTTGGCTTTCAAGATGCTAAGCTACTCCCGCGTCAATCTAAAAATGGAGATTGTCGTACTCTCAGCATCACCATCTTTTGTGCAGGGTGGAGGAATTTTTAAGGGCGGATCAAGCTGGTATCCAACCGGGTCGAATGTTGGCTGAGGTGGGTCTCAAGCACGAAGTAATGTCCTGTCGATGATGGTGGGATTGTAAGGTCAAGTCCGCGAGTGATATCAGAACATGTATATACAAAGTGGAGACCTGAACACCCATCTGCCACTTGATGTTCCAGGCCGACCCCAAGCGACACTCCACATTTGAAGTATGTGACCTGCGTATTTCAATAATTGCAGCAAGCAAGCAAACAAAGAAATTGAGTAAACTATGAAAGAACATTTATTTGCCGAATTAGAATCAAACTAATGAAATTGAATTGAACAAAACCCTAACTCAAATTTATTGAATGGTGTTTATGAAAAGGCTGTGTTGTTGGTGTTTATGAAATATAAAGGAAGAGTACCATCAGACAGAAAAAATCACCTTTCCACCTATTAAAGGAGAAGGTTTGGCTCCAGTTGACCTAAACCATGCTTGTGTAAATCCAAGTGCAATTGCGGTACCTATAAACACAGTAATTAGTAAGCTTGCGATAGAAGTCTAACATTCATAACATAAACTGATAAAAAAAAACATAAAACAGCGTAAAAGCTTACAGTTCCAAAAATACTATAATCAAGAACAACAAACATCTCAAGAAAACCAATCGACACCACATTCAACAGAGACAGTTTAAAATTTTTAGTGCTACCCCAAAAGGGATGTCAACACATGATTTCAACAACAGAATTAAGCAGTTAGGAGATCAAGTTAGAGAGAAGTGCACCTTAACAGCCACTTGGAAAGACTTTCGATAAAAACCATTTCCTGGCTCCTGCAAAAAGAACATAAAATATTTACTACACATCGAAAGTTGAAAAGCAATACAGTTTCTCTCCCTGAAATGGAGGATGTTCGATCAGGGGATTTTAGGTGAGCAGATTGAATCTGAGGGAGAGAGAAAGAGAGGGAGGAAGAGAATGGAAGAGTGTTGAAAGCAAATGGAAAGCCGGTTGACTCTTCCCAATTTTAGAGGATGCTAATTTCATAAATAAGGTGAAATCTCCAATTGGAATTGCATTCTGTATATTCCATTAATAGTTATTACTGAAATGTTATAGGAATCCTGAAAGCAATAATATTAATTCTTACAGAAAACATAACTATAGAAATCATGCAAGCAGAACTAATATTTATATAAGAGATGAACAAAAATAATGAATCAGACAATCGTAATTTTGAAATATCATCTATCTGCTAATACGACCTTTTTCCATCAAAATAACATAAACCCCAAAGAAAAATGGAAATTGGGAACGACCCATAATCTGAAAATTTACAAAAATTAACAGAAACGGATGAAATATGAGAGAAAGAATTGGAGTTCTTACAAAGTGTTGATGAAATTTCAGAGAAAGAATTCGATTTCACAGGTAATTATAAAAAATAATCATATAATTTCTCACAATAAAATTCAAAGTGACTAAAAACAAATGATATATATCAACTTTGATGATTTCTTTTATTTTCCCTCTCTTTCTCAGCAACCAAACAGCAATTGATAATTACCAAAAACTGAAAAGATTGAAGTTCATGGGCAAGTTGGAACGCCTGGGTTGCTATCTCCACTTGGTGTTAAAAAATCAAGGTGGGCATTTTCAGAGCACCTAAACCCTTCATCCACAAACGTATGTAAAAATCAACAAAATAATATTGTGATTGCATTAATCCGCAAAAAAAAAATGCTAAAATTCATAGCTGGGGTGCAAAGAACCTAATTTTCAGCAATCCAGAGTCACAGATCCAAGGCATTCAAGCAAACAACAGAGAAGAGAGTATATTTTTTTTGAGGCACGAACCCAGTCTTTACCTTTGCTTCTTGTGGATCTGGGAACTGGATCAAGTCTCTGAACGATGCGATTCTTGGAGTCTCAGATGGTTTTGGGTTCGGAAATGTAGCTCGGCATAGATTTCCGAACTGGATCAAGAATTACCTTCCCAACCCAGCCTAGATTTCCGAACCCAAAATATTCCGGCATATAAACAACAAAATATAAAATCAGAAACCCCAAATTTATTCATTTCTGAATTGAAATCCAGAAGAAAAAAAATGCAAAATTTAAGCAATGCAGAGAAAACCTAGATCCCACCACAAACAAACGCATAAAAATGAGAGAGGAAACCCAAAAAAAAGGAATTCAAGGAATCCAACATACCGCAATCGGAGCAAGGACGGTATCCGACGGCTATGTTCATCGCGGAAGGCACGGTTGCCAGCCGTCGCTGTACCTCCAGTACGCATCCGGTGTGTCTGAGGCTTGTGACCTTCACTACATGCTTGGTTTGTGGGCTCCACGGCGAGAGACATGGGAGAGCGCCGAGGAAAGGAAGATTATGGTTTGTATAGGAGAGAGGAAGTGAGAGAGAGATGAAGTCGATGTAGTCTGAATTCCTTTCACAAAATCAAACATAAACCCCCTTTTGGTAGGCTTCAGTGCCTCACTCCTAATTTATAAGGTGAAATCAAGAGTTTAGGATTTAGTACAAAATTACCCTCCTAATTTATAAGCATTACCTTCCAACCCAGTCCAAATCTGATGGTTTTTGTTGTAAATAATGTGAAATCAAGTGGCAAAGCCTTCCTCAACTTTAGAATAGATAAATGATTAGAAAATATGTTTGTGCTTTGCGCGGAACCTTGAACCCACTAGCCTTAACTACATGAATAAAACACATTTAAACTAAATAAATAAAACATAATTATGAATGAACAGAGGATAGATGAGTGACATATTTTCATGATTTTTCTTGTAAAACTCAAAGCTTACTGTCCAAAACCAAATAATTTGTACCATTTACATGCTTGTGCAGCATATTTAAATCTTGATTAATTTAATATATTTTTTTTTGGAAGTTCATTGAACATTTTTTAAATCTGGATTTCGAAGACCAAGATCTGAGTTAAAAATCTCAAAAGTATGAATTTTAGAATGATTAGAAAGAAGTCATAATGGTTTTGGTTGAAGCTATTTCAGATTAACTACATGTGTAGAATGATTATGTAGTACATTACAACTTCTTCCTAATCATGTAAAATGCATAATTTGGAAATATTTAAGGCAGACGCTTGGTCTTGTTCATCAAGATTTAGTGAACTTGCAAAGAAATATACTAAATTATTCAACAAAAACATAAATCTTTGTGTTCTCTAATCCAAGTTTGACGTCAAACATTTTCATCTACTTCATTGAACTCGAGGCACCACCGCATTGCCGGATCATGATTCATGAAGGTAGAAAACATATGCATTTGTTTCTTGCATATGATTACAGGTTTTGCTTTATTAGGACATTTCATGTACACTATTGGCTGATCGTCAAACTCAAATTCAGTTTTCGTCTTGTCATGCTTCCACCTCCTTTTTGCCTTCTCATATGAGGAGGAGCCATCTTCCAACAAAAGAAACGCGATAGACGTGGTATTCGAAACATCTCTTACCTTATTACCACACCCCAAACAGTGGGCGGTGAGAACAATTTTCATATTTTTTGAAATATTTATCAAAATGTATAGGATTCAAGAGACTGTAAGTTGATAAGTTTAGATTAAAACCAGATTAATAATGTATAAGGAACAGTGAGTAATATATATAAAGTTGTGTAACTAATATAAAAGGTATACCGCTATCCAGTGGTGGGTATGCGACGCATGGTTCACCATGGCCTGAGCTTTAGAGGGAGAGAGGGAGAGAGGGAGAGAGAGAGAGAGGAAGGAGAGGTTGAGGGCTATAAGGTCATCTCCAACCAAAGAGTTTAGAGGGCCAGATGGCAGAAAATAGCTCTAAAATCGTCTCCGATTGAGGGTTAGGCCAAAGGGCCAATCGGCCGGCCCCGGGCCGAGCTAACAATTTTGAATCTCAACGGCTAACTGACGTTAACTAGCCATTATTTTTGAATTATTATTATTATTATTATTATTATTATTATTATTATTATTATTTACAGTTTTTTTTTGGGCAAAAAATTTAACAAGAATATTTAATTAAGGTGCAAAAAGATGACGGGTCCTACGTGGGATGTTGCATGTTTTATTGCTCAAACATCTCCCACAGCCGATGTGGGACAGATACAATGGGTGCCACACATGCAAGCTTTTGCTTGCTCAAATCTCTTTCGATGTGGGACAAATATAATAGGTGCCCCAAATATAAGATTCCTATTAGAGATGGTAAATGTGCATTTATACGTGATAAATGTGCATTTAATTTAAGTTGTTGTAGTTTTTAAATTTAAATATTATGTTTAACCATTTGGTCATCGGTTGGAGATAGTAAAAAATATGGCCCTACATTGGTCATTAAAATATTAATTTTTTGGAAGGCCAGATGGTTAAAACGAGCTCTCTGACCAGCCTTCATTTGGAGATGACCTAAATTCCTTTGATGTAGGTGGATTCAAAGCCTCCTGTATTTTAGTATTATTTATGGCGGACGCAGTGGGGTTGGTGGAGCGGCTGGTGGTGTTAAAGTGGGTGAAGCTTGTACTGTGCAATTGGGCTGCTAAAAATGTACGAAAGTCACAAAGAGATCACAAGAAATTTTCTGTGCAAAAGTTTTGTACAATTTACTGTTCAGTATAGTTACATAATCTGACAAAAAAAAATATAGTTACATAAAAAAATTATGAAATGTTGTTTTGAGAGTGAGAGAGAGGGCCGGCTACAGTGAGAGAAGGGGTACAACTGTTTGTGATATGATTTGAGTTTAACGAGCCAAACATTTTGTATGAGTTCGACTCAATTTGTTTTCCCAACCAAGCTGAAAGAAGTCGAACTTGAATTGTATCGAGCTGCTTAATAATACCATACATTAGGGAGCGCTTGGTACGTAGATGGGACGGGATGAGACAGAATAAAATAAAAGTTCCGCGCTACGTTTGTTACACATAGGTTGCAATAGGACAATTGTTTTGCTATTTGTCTGTTCATCACCATCATTATCACCACCAATATACTTGCATGGACACTCTGAAACTTCAAAGTGTCAAAGTATCAGACACACCGACATGCCTTGAACACGCCCTGAACACAGTTTTGGATACTATCAACGGTTTGGACATGATCAAGGCACATCATGAGCTTTTTTTTGTAAATTAGAAAACATTTTCGAGGCAGTGTTGGAAATGGAAAATTTTTGGTGGTAATTTTGTAAAATACAAATAAATAATAAACATTTTGAGGCACTTCTGTAAATATAAACTCATAAAACCTAAAGTACAACAATAATCTACTTTTATATGCTCATAATACAAAAGTACAACTCATTTCTCTTCTTATATTATAACATCGTTTTAGCATAAACATTTTGGTTAGCATTTCTACTTTTTGTATTCTTTAGACACATCTTTGTATTACTCATTGTTTTTCAATACATTATCCTGATTTTTGTCTAAACTGATTAACTTTTAATCTGCATCCTATAAATATAATATGGACATCTGTGTTAATTTTGATATATGTTTCAGAAAATATGGAAATGTTCTCATCACCCACTGTGGATATAGTAACATGATAAGAGATGGTTTCGAATACCACATATATTGTGTTTCTTTTATTGTAAGAGGTGCTTGCTCGACATATGAGAATGCAAAAAATCATCGGAAGCAAGATGATTAGCCAATAATGTGCATGCAATATCCCAATGAATAAAAACCTATGAGGCATAATTTGGGTATCTTCATGAATCATGATGCGACGATGTGGGGTGCTAAAAAGTTTAATGTAGTGGATTAAGATACTTAACCTCAGTTTCGACTAGAGAACACAAAGTTTTATGTTTTTATTGATTAATTTAGTATTTTTTTTTGGAAGTTCATAGAACATTTTTTAAATCTTGATTACGAAGACCAAGATCTGAGTTAAAAATCTCAAAAGTATGAATTTTAGAATGATTAGAAAGAAGTCATAATGGTTTTGGCTGAAGCTATTCGAGATTAACTACATGTGTAGAATGATTACGTAGTACATTACAACTTCTTCCTAATCATGTAAAATGCATAATTTGGAAATATTTAAGGCAGACGCTTGGTCTTGTTCATCAAGATTTAGTGAACTTGCAAAGAAATATACTAAATTATTCAACAAAAACATAGATCTTTGTGTTCTCTAATCGAAGTTTGACGTCAAACATTTTCATCTACTTCATTGAACTCGAGGCACCACCACATTGCCGGATCATGATTCATGAAGGTAAAAAAAATATGCATTTGTTTCTTGCATATGATTACAGGTTTTGCTTTATTAGGACATTTCATGTACACTATTGGCTGATCATCAAACTCAAATTCAGTTTTCGTCTTGTCATGCTTCCACCTCCTTTTTGCCTTCTCATATGAGGAGGCGCCATCTTCCAACAAAAGAAACGCGATAGACGTGGTATTCGAAACATCTCTTACCTTATTACCACACCCCAAACAGTGGGCGGTGAGAACATTTTCATATTTTTTGAAATATTTATCAAAATGTATAGGATTCAAGAGACTGTAAGTTGATAAGTTTAGATTAAAACCAGAATAATAATGTATAAGAAACAGTGAGAAATATATATAAAGTTGTTTCTAACTAATATAAAAGGTAGACCGCTTGGCCAGTACCAACCATATTTGTTCCTTGTTTCTTGGGGCTGTCTTCTTTCAATTATCCATGTTTCTTCTTTCTTGGGACGGAAGTTTGTTTCTTCTTTCTCAGGGCAGTCTTCCGGTCGATTTTCCCTGTTCCCTCTTTCTTGGGGCAGTCTTCAGACCGGTGCTTGCCAACAGCACCACAAGTCCCACAATCATTCACAAAAGCAACTCCGATCCATTCATCGTCATCAGGGTCCGAGTGTCCACCCTCTTTCTCACAACACCTGCAGACTAGTCTACCGCCAGGGCCAACTGCTGCGTTCCTTGGGACATAGTACTGGTATGGGCAGGTGTTACCCCAGTGACCCCGTCTTGAACAAATACCACATATCATGTAAACAAAGGCAGGATCATGAGAGCCTGCACAAACTTTCGGGTTACTGTCCGGCATGTAATCCGACTTTGACACAGTCAACATGTTTTAAGTAACTATCACATGACACGAAAACGTCATAGAAGACCAATTACGAGTTGAACACCCGACCTTCCCCACCATTAATTTGGGTATTTTACTAATATACGAAAAACACAAACAAAAAAAATATCAGGGGTACATGAAACCAAACCCCTGAAAAAGAACACAAAGATCAATACACAAATGATTAGATAACGCAAAGTGAATAAAAAAATTATCCGAGGAGGAGAAAACAAAAACATACCATCATTATCTGGGCAGTCCTGAGTCTTGTGGCCAACAGTACAACAAATTCTACAATACAAACAATTGGGCAGCTCTTTGACGAGACAAAGCCATTGTCCATGTTTTGGCTTCCAACTGACTCGACTGACCACTGTTAAATAGATAGATACACGTACAGTTGAAACAGAGATAAAATGATATAGATTCACCCAGGTAAATTAAAGGGTTAAATAACTTTTTATTCATTTCCGTATGCCAATTGGATTGGGATAATAAAGGAATTTGAAAGAGTTTGGTGTTCAATCAGAAATTTAAACCACACAAATTTGGGTGCAATGTTAGGTGTGTCCAGAAAGACATTGATTTGCGAGGATTTTAAAATTCACTCCCATTCCATCAAAATCCAGCCTCTAAAATCCTCTAAAATCGAATCGAAAAGCAAGAAAGGAAGCATAATAAATCAGCACAAGTAGTAGTCTGTTTGGGGAGGGGGCACTTACAATAATCCCAGTTTTCTTTATCTTCGGGAGATGTTCGTGCCAATCTTTGCGCCATTATCTTACTCGTCTTCTCTCTAGCTGTTAAACAAACAAACATACAGTTATACATATATACATACAAGATTTAGCCCACAAAATCAATCACAAAACCCATCGCAAATCGGAAATAAAAAATGGAAGGCATCATAAATACTATACCAGCCATTTGGGCTTCATAGCTATCCTCGAGGACGTAAGACACCCCGGGCAGATCTTCGCCACCCATTAGATGCTCTTCTTCTTCGTCGAACCAGTGCCAATGGAGTCTGCCCGGAATCGCCAGCTCGTCTTCATTCGGTGGAGGCGGGATCTGCTCCTGATCCTGGCTCTGGATGAATTCTGGATTCGGGATCTGGATTACGTTACATGGTGGTGGGCATGCGACGAATGGTTCGCCCATGGCTGGAGCTTAGAGGGAGAGAGAAGGAGATTGCGATGGTGAGGGAGAGGTTGAGGGAAAGGGTTTGGCCATTACGTAAGAGTCCTGGAAGTCCGGAAATAGCCAACAGGAACGGATCCTTTGGTGAGAATCCGCGAATGTGTCCGACAATTTTTAGGTTAATATTAAAAAAAAAAAATTAAAATGATTTCTGACCGCACTATGTACGATAAACAAACACGATTTACAAATCTTTGAGATTCTCACAAAGAGGATCCTCACAATTTTTGGGTGAAACCGCACCATGGAAAAAAAAAAGACTTCTAATATCACGTGTTCATTTTGATTTTTTTATTAGGTGAAGTGTCAATTTAGTCTTTGAACTATCACCTCAGTGAAAATTAGGTATCTGAATTATTTTTTCCGTAAATAAATCCCTAAATTAATTAAAAATTGTTAATTTCATCCACACTATTATATTCAAAGCTATTTTATCTAATTTTTTGTCAATTTAAGTCATTTGACACACTTTAAAGTGCAATACCATCTTTTTCTCACTTATAAGACCTTAACATTTCATATAGGTTGTGAATCTAATTTCTAATTTACCCTCAAAAGCTAACTCTATACACAATTTATATATGCCAAATTACCGATCTACCCTCCAATGGGTGTTTCATGCAAGTAACGTGACTTAAACTGACAGAGTATTGAATATAGTAGCTTCAAATCAAATATTAGGGATGTAATTGGCAGATTTTTATAATTCAATGACTAATTTTTCTAAAAAAATAGTTTAGGAACCTAATTTTCACTAAGGTGATAATTCATAAATTAAATTAGCAATTCACCCTTTTTTATTTTCACTTTTCTATTATTCTTTTTTGTCGAGTATTTCATTTAGGTGAATTCGATACCAAATTAGGTTGTCTATTGTATGACTTAGCCAAGCTCTCCCCTCACCTTAGTGTAAACACATCGTTGTACTAAAAAAAAAAAATTATGTAAGGTCTTCACAATTCGATTGTGTGATTGTTTATGTTCTAGGCAGTGGCGAAGCTACGTGAGGACGAGGAGTGGCGGCCGCCCCTCCCATCGCCGGAAATCAAGCCCAGGAGCGGTGGTTCCGCCCCTCTGGTCACGTCGAAAGTGAAGAATTTCCGTCTGGTTTTCGACCTTTTGGATGTCCCTGCTCTATCCCAGCACACGCTGATTGCGTGCTCTCTTATTTTTGAAAAACCTAAGCCAAAGAAAGGAGAAACGAAGAACTGCATTTTGCAGCTTCTGGAGACTGGAAATTTAGTTCTGGAACACTGGTTCTAACGAAGAAGAAGAGAAAGGAAGAAGAGAGAGACTTTCTCTCTCTCCCATCCCACCCCACCCCACGTGACCTTTCTTAATTACACTTTGTTTTTTTTTTTAATATTGGCCAATCAATTGGCACCACTTAACCTGCTTTGATTTATTTTTTAATTATTGTCAAATTAATTTGACCACTCTTTCAATATTTTTTAGGGAACTTTAATGAAAAGCACCCGGTACTGTTCACTTTAACGAAAAACCACATTTTTACACTAAAAAGTCAATCATGTTACTATTCACTTTACCCTTTATTTTGTCCTTATCATTAAAACTCAAAGTTTTCAAGCCCTTTTCATTAGTTTTCCTTATTTTTAAGCCATTTGTTGGACACTATTATTCATCTTAAAATTCATTATAAATTTATACGAGCTTCAAAAAATAATTTGTAAAATATTACGAACTCGTCATTATTTTTTTTCTTTCTCTTACCATCAAATTCAACAAAGTAATAAAGAAAATTTGTCAATATTTTTATATATTATACGTTTTATAATAAATATTTTTTGGATATTATAAGCTATATAATAAATAGACAATTATTTATACGGTATATAATAAATTTATTCAAATTTGCCTAGGCCCTCGCCTTAGTGTAAAGTCATGTCCATTGCCCGATTAGAGCTTTCCATCTTTTAAAACTTTGCTAATTATACAGTTAAGTAATAGGACGATACAAAGAGAAACGGTGCTAAATCATCCTTCAAATAATATTGTTGTCCAAACCCTCCTTCGACTATTTTGAGTAGTCCAAATCCTCTTTTGAATATTTCGGTTAGTGCAAATTCTCCTACGGGTAGTTCAAATAATCTTCGTGCAAATCCTAGACTTAAACCTCGAATGAATGTTCACATTTTTTCGGGACCCTAAAGTTTTTAAATTTCGCCCCTTCTCCCAAGAATTCCTGGCTTCGCCACTGGTTCCAGGACTGGAAGTTGTGAATCTTGTGATTACAGACCAGGAAGGACTCTCAAAGTTATGCGAGTATGAAGCAAAAAGGCGTGTACTGATGTTGGGAAGTTGGAATTAAATTTGAAAGTGGTCATTTATCACAATGGTGAAAAGAAGTTGAGTCCTTGTATGACGAAGTGAATTTAAACCCCGTCGGCTTATCTAACATTTAATGATTCTAATATAACAAAATCTATTATTTGACAACAAAAAAAAAAGTTGGGATAAATCCATGGATATAAACCTCCCTCCTGCTTGGCCGGTTCCAACCATCTTTGTTCCTTGCTTCCTGGGGCAGTCTTCTTTCTTGGGACTGAAGTTCGTTTCTTCTTTCTTAGGGCAGTCTTCCGGTGGATTTTCCCTGTTCCCTTTTTTTTGGGGCAGTCTTCTGTCCTGTGCTTGCCAACAGCACCACAAGTCCCACAATCTTTCACAAGAGCTACTCCTATCCATTCGTCGTCATCAGGGTCCGAGTGGCCACCCTCTTTCTCACAACACCAAGGCCAACTACTGCATTCCTTGGGACATAGTACCTGTATGGGCAGCCCCATTGACCCGTCTTGAACAAATACCACATATCATGTAAACAAGGGCAGAATCATAAAAGCCTGCACAAACTCTCGGGTTAACGTCAAGCATGTAATAACAGTCAACATGCTTTAAGTAATTATCACATGACGTACTAAATTAATGAAGGATTGTACTTCAACGCACAAAATCGATCTGCGACTTCAACCCCTCGTTTCCTATGAATGACGCGAAAACATCACAGTGGACCAAGCAGGGGCTGAGTCACATGGAGGCCGTGAGGCCTAGACCTATCCTGAAATTTTACTTATATATATTTATTGTCGGCTAAGTTTGGCAATATAGAGCTTGTATTGCATTGGTCAATGCAGTTTGACAGTTCCACCATTCCATGAATTTGAAAGTTGTTGTCAACAACTTTTGTTTTGCTTTTTAAACAAAACCTTATAATTAGCTTTTTGTTTCACCATATATAGATCAGGTCTCGTATAAGACAAGTTCTATACAAGTTAAAGTAAAATTCAATTAATTATGGTGAAATTAATATCTCATGGTAATAGTTTTAAGTTATGACCTTACTTTTTGTTCGAATCTTACTTTTTATTTTTTATTTTTTTTATTAAAGCTCGTAAGAAAGTTTTGTTTTATGATATAATGATCAATACTTTTCGTAAAAATTTTGAAGCTCTATCACTCTTGTTTCATAAATTTTCTATGCTAATAAAAAAAAAAGGCGTAAAACTTTCTCCAACTAATTATTTGCTATATTTAGTCTAATTTCTTTTATATGTCTTAAAGGCCCCTCCTGAGAAGGATTTCTAGCTTTGCAACTGGGACCACTTATGAGTTGAACGTCAGCCCTTCCCCTCCAATAATTTGGGTATTTTACTATAAAAAAAGGCCAATCATAAGCTAACAAGGCTTCCCACTTTGCAAGGGTCCGAGTAGGAACGTTTATTGTACGCAGCTTTACTCTTGCTTTGCAAAAAGAATTGTTTTCAACTCGAACCTGTGACGTATTGGTCACGAAAGAGCAACATTTCTATTGCACCAAGATTAATATAACCTTTCTCCAAGTCTCCTATAAATGACACGAAAACGTCACAGTGAGTTGAACGCCCGCCCTTCCCCTCCATTAATTTCGGTATTTTACTATTACCTGAAAAACACAAACAAAACTACAACGGGAGCACACGAAACCAAACCCCTTTTAACACAAGGATCAACAAATCAATGACTAGATAACACAAAGTGAATAAAAGGATGATCCGAGGGGAAGAAAACGAAAACATGCCATTATTATCTGGGCAGTCCTGAGTCGCGTGGTCAGCAGTATTACAAATTCTACACTGCATCAAACTGGCTGCTCTTTTGACGAGACAAAGCCATTGTCCATGTTTTGGCTTCTAACTGACTCGCGGCACTGTTAAATGGTAGATACACATACAGTTGAGAGAGATATAAAACGATATAGATTCATCCAGGTAAATAAAAGGGTTAAATAACTTTGTGATCCCTGCATGCATATTAGTCTCCGTAAGCCAATTGGGTTGGAATACTAATTAAGCACAAGTAGTAGTCTGTTTGGGGGAGGGAGGGACTTACAGCAACCCTACATTTGTGTATCTTCGGGAGTTGTTGGGGGGAGTGGGGACTTACAATAACCCAACGTTTGTCACAGCAAGTCAAAGCCATGAATAATTTTAAGCACAGTATAGCTGTGATAGCGATCCGTAGATATAGATATGAAACTTGGTATAAATTTAAAATTTAATTTATACTAAAACCCATTTGAAATATTGTTCATATATATTGTTTATAATTACAGTGATTATATTTCGATTTTGACCTCTAAATTTGCGTTATTACATTTATGCCACTGACCAACAGACCAGGTATCCTTTTTGACATCTGGGATCGCACTCGCCCTTTCCTCCCTCAGTTCTTTCCTGGTCGACTTACCCTGCAACTAACATCATCAAGCTACTATCTTCAGAAAACCCTCAACTCCTCATCACCTTCGTTCTCGCCGAAGAGTGGCACGGTTTCTTTGAATCCGACCCAAAACCAGACAATACCCGATTACCTACCAAACCCTCCGATCACGGTCGCGTGAAATATTGTTTGGGGGGCGCCCGGGGGGGGGGGGGGGCACTCGGAAAATATAATAGATAATGAAACTTGGTACAAAAGAAAATCTAAAATTGTATAGGGGCATCTAATAATGTGTTGAAAATAAAATATGGAGTAAGAATAGAGAGAGATGAGAAAGATAATGAGAGGAGAAATTAGAGCATCATTTTTCATCTC